AAAGAAAGAAAGAAAGAAAGAAAGAAAGAAAGAAAGAAAGAAAGAAAAAAAAAAGCATCCAGGGGAACTCAGTTCACTCTCTAGTCGAGTACTTTTCCATTGGATAGCAGAAATTGCTTCATTATTTATTGGTTGATTGGATTACAAATTGGATCCTGTTTGTAGTGGATTTGTGACTTTTTCAGTGGCAGACTAGCTGACTGATAAAGAATGGATAGACTAATAAATAAATGATAGTAAAGTAATGGAAGATTTGGCTATGCCTGTAGCAACCTTCTGGCTTTCTCAATACCTGGAGCTTGCAGCTTCATGATCATCGGGGAGGAAGAAGTGCCAGAAATCACTAGTTGAAGGGTAGACTGTCCACTTAGGTAGCAACACTACAATCAATTTCACATGCTGTTGTGCAAATGGAATAAACAACAGGTGGAAAGCATAGGCAGTTAGCAAGACATCCCCAATAAAGGAATGGTTCTGCAGGTGGTGACCACAGACCACTTCTCAGTTCCTGTGCTTTCTGGCTGATGGTTTGGTGACTTTTGAATGCTGGCGGTGCTTTCACTCTAGTGGTAGCATGAGACAGAGTCTACAACCCACACAAGTGGCTCAGGTAATGCAGCTCATCTAGGATGGCACATCAATGCGAGCTGTGGCAAGGTTTGCTGTGTCTTGTCAGTGTCCAGAGCATGGAGGTGCTACCAGGAGACAGGCCAGTACATCAGGAGACGTGGAGGAGGCCATAGGAGGGCAACAACCCAGCATCAGGACCGCTACCTTTGCCTTTGTGCAAGGAGGGACAGGAGGAGCACTGCCAGGGCCCTGCAAAATGACCTCCAGCGGACCACAAATGTGCATGTGGCTGCTCAAACGGTCAGAAATAGACTCCATGAGGGTGGCATGAGGGCCCGACATCCACAGGTGGGGGTTGTGCTTACAGCCCAACACCGTGCAGGACGTTTGGCATTTGCCAGAGAACACCAAGACTGGCACCCTGTGCTCTTCACAGATGAAAGCAGGTTCACACTGAGCACATGTGACAGACGTGACAAGGTCTGGAGATGCCGTGGAGAACATTCTGCTGCCTGTAACATCCTCCAGCATGACCGGTTTGGCAGTGGGTCAGTAATGGTGTGGGTGGCATTTCTTTAGGGGGCCGCACAGCCCTCCATGTGCTCGCCAGAGGTAGCCTGACTGCCATTAGGTACCGAGATGAGATCCTCAGACCCCTTGTGAGACTATATGCTGGTGCGGTTGGCCCTGGGTTCCTCCTAATGCAAGACAATGCTAGACCTCATGTGGCTGGAGTGTATCAGTGGTTCCTGCAAGACGAAGGCATTGATGCTATGGACTGGCCCGCCCATTCCCCAGACCTGAATCCAATTGAGCACATCTGGGACATCATGTCTCGCTCCATCCACCAACACCATGTTGCACCAGACTGTCCAGGAGTTGGGGGATCTTTAGTCCAGGTATGGGAGGAGATCCCTCAGGAGACCATCCGCCACCTCATCAGGAGCATGCCCAGGCATTGTAGGGGGGTCATACAGGCACGTAGAGGCCACACACACTGAGCCTCATTTTGACTTGTTTTAAGGACATTACATCAAAGTTGGATCAGCCTGTAGTGTTTTTTTTTCCACTTTAATTTTGAGTGTAACTCCAAATCCAGACCTCCATGGGTTGCTAAATTTGATTTCCATTGATAATTTTTGTGTGATTTTGTTGTCAGCACATTCAACTATGTAATGAACAAAGTATTTAATAAGAATATTTCATTCATTCAGATCTAGGATGTCTTATTTTTGTGTTCCCTTTATTTTTTGGAGCAGTGTATATGTTGAGAAGAGGTCAACATCTTTTAGGGGAAAGCATTTCTTACAATCGGACAACTGCCTGCTCCCCAAACAATACGCATTGGGACGGGTCTACTCACCAGCAAGCGCAGCCCTTCATAGGAGGAGAGCGGGGTGGAGACGTAGTCGCTGCAGGACCGCCCCCCCCTTCCCTCTGCACATTCGCTCCGAGCATTATGACGTCACGGCGTTCTTTAAAAAGCAGCAGAGAAAACACTCGGCATTGAGAAAAATAAATGCCCTCCGATCTTGATTAAAAGCGGTAGCGGCGACCCGCAGGTAGAGCGAGCTGTATAAAGCAAACGCGAAGAACTGCCCATAGAAGCCTCCTCGGCAAACATGGTGTCCCCGGTGACCGTGGTGAGTTCGGTGACGGTTGTTTTTGTTTTGTTTTGGCCAGAGTAAAAAAAAAGTCAGGACCAAAAGATATTCAGATAGTATCACCAGACGGGAAGGAGATGCGAGATCTGCAAGGCGACTTTTATGATCCCCGCAGGAGTCTTTCGATAACAATAGATAAGAGTCGCTGTGCGGCAGTAAGACTGCCTCCTCCCGTATGTTTGCTGTGAATTAGACTCCGGGGTTTCTCTTCCTAGTGCGTTACTCGCTCTGTTTGCAGCCCTTTTCCTTCTTCCTTCTTCCTTTCTTTCCTCCCTCCCCCGCCCCCCCCGGCTTTGTTAGAAAGAAAATGTGGCGTGCCAAGTGTTGCTTTTCTTATCGCCCCTCCACCACCACCACTTACCCAAAGCCTGTGAAAGCTGGATTGGATGAAAACATTAAACATGTGACAAGAAAGCGTGACTTTGTTGATTTCATTCCTTGGATCTCGTCGGTTGGTGGGGTAGGCAACAGGGAAGATGTTTAAGGAGGAGGGCGGAACGGAGGGAGAAAGAGGTTCCAGAGTTCAATCTCCCCCCTTTAATGTCTGGCTTCGGAAGAGAATAAAATGCAGCGATATTTGGCGCTTTTGCTTGGGTCTGCCCTGAGGCTGGCCTATAGTAGAACGTGAGCCGGTCTACACATAGATTCTCGATCACGAGTTGATGTTGCTGCCTTGCCGAAGGAAGGTCGGGGAATTCCTGTGGGGGAAAATCGGTCTCACCCTAAAGTTCTTTTTCTTACTTTCCTTTGTCCCCTCTCCTCCCAAAACACCAACCGTTAGATTGGCAATAATAAAACAAAAACGGGAGAGCGACGGAAGTCAACAATTGCTCTTATGTGGACAGAGTAATGTAAATTAAATAGATTTAAAATGAGGATTTAAATCCAGGATGAGCCAGTTTGGCCTACTGATTAAGGTACTAGCCCAGGAACCAGGAGGCTGTGAGTTCTAGGCATGAAAGCCAGCTCATAAGGTGACTTTGGACCACTCTCCCTCAGTGCTACCCACCTCACAGGGTTGTTGTGGGAAAAATAAGAGGAGGAAGGAGTGTTAGGTATGTTCACTGTCTTGAATTTCTTATAAAGTAATAAAAGAGGGAGATAAAAATCTAATGTGTCCTCTGTAATAGATGCATGTACTAAAGGAAAACACTGGTCAGCTGGTATAAGTAATATGGATTTAGAAAGACAGGAGATTTCAGACTTATGACAAGTTTGGGAAGGAGACTTGAAATCTTGTTCTCTGGTCAACTATGAAGCATCTTGGATTCTATTTTGTAGGACTATTAGAAGGATAATGTAGGCTTTCCTTAGGAAATCTTTTCCAGACTTCCTGCAAGAGCAGAATAATAAATGTGTGCCATTTTCTGTCAATTTGAATATGCAATGCACAGTTTGTTCACTTTTATCGCCAAATGGGGTGGAGAATTCTGAATGAACTAAGAGCAATAATAATATTTGTAAACTTTTAAAAAGTTCCTTTGATTTGGATTAACTTATTTATATCTTGTTTTTCTGCTTTAAGGATTGTTCATATTAGCTAACAGAACTGAAAAAAGACTCAGAATCTAAAAAGTTAAAAAATAATAATACTGTAATTAATACTGATGCCATTTAATAATTAAACGCTTGGTGAAAGAAAGGTGTTCTTATATAAATTAATTTATCCACAGAATGCTGAGATATGGGATCTAAAAGCCAAAAATCCCTCCATTCCATAGTTTGGAAGCAGCAAATGAGAAGCCCTCATGCGAGAAAAACAGACCTGTGATAGCAGAGGTATCTTCAGAAGAGACACTTCTGCAGATCCATCAGCTGGACAGGGCTGGTAACAAGAGAGAAATTCTTAGTCTCTAAGTGATTTAGGACATTAAAGTTTAATATCAGCAAATAAAATACGCCTGGGATACAATTGGCAGCCAGAACAGATTTTTCAGTATTGTAAAAGCACCATTGGTCCTTATGCCTGTTAGCAATGAAGCTGCGTCATATTGCATCAACTGTAGTTTCTGGCTGCTTTTCAAGTACAACCCCAGGTACCACATATTGTAAATTATGCAACAGTAGAGATACTGCTTGGGAATTCAGTGATGAATTAGCTTTCCAAAACTGAGAATCTGCTGTTTTCAAGGAGAGTGTAATTCCATCTAAAACAAACTGAAGCTCAATTCCTGCATTCATTTTTCTAATTGTAACAGTTAACTGCAGTTGAGGAGACTGGAAAATAGAAAGAAAAATGTGACAAATTCTCTTTTCAACACATTATAAGGTTGATCTTTGGGGTAGCAAGTAGGCTATGGGCATGAGATGTGAATGTGCTTGGAGCTATCCTGCAAATTATGCATTGTTTTGCCTCCTATAAACTTCTAGCTATTTGTTTTTGAGTACTGATAAGAACTGCAAAAGAACAAAAGTTAGTTTTCTCTCATGGAGAATTTCTCCCTGAAGACTGTGTTATTGCAATCTGAGTGTACAACATTACTGTACATTTTGCTTTTATTATTTGTCAGGGAAAGGGTTCCATTGTGTAGAATAGGAATTATATTGTTATGTCTTGATTTGTCTGATTGATTATTGTCTACATTGACTGGCAACAGATTTCCAGTTCCCCAACCAAAATCTTTTTCAGATTTACCTGGAGAGACTATAGAGAGACTCAGAATGAAACCTAGAAATATTGACATCAAAGCAAATCTCTGTTGATTTACATCCCTTTACTTCATCTGGGAAATATTTATGATCCTCATGTAGTAGTGAAACTTGCTTCCCCATTTATATTGGGAACTGGGGAAATAAATGTATTTATTGTACACTGGATATTTATTGTACAAGGATATTGTACACTGTTTTATTTTCACAGTACTGATTGATTTATTTTTCATCAGTCAGTGTAATACAATGTCTGTATTATTTACACTAAGAACATTATTTTTCAGTGGGAAAACTAAAGTAGACAAGACTAAATCTTTTTGTCTTGGTTAAAAGCCGCAAGGAAGTTGTTAAATAGTGTGAAATTGTTAAATAGGCCATCAAGTCAGTTTTTGACACCTGGTGACAAGTTGCTGGACTAGTCTCTGCCGTTTTCTTGGCAAGGTTTTTCGGAAGTGATTTGCCATTGCCCACTTCTTACAGAGAGAGAGGGAGAGATTGACTTAAAGTTATCAAGCTGGCTTCCTGACAGAGGTGGGACTAGAACTCACTGTCCCACAGTTTTTAGTCTGGTACCTTAGACACTTTTCCAAACGGGTTCTCCTAATAAAACTAAAGAACTAAAGAAGGAAAAGTAAATGTATGCTTAATCCAGATTAGACAGATGTGTTCTGTTTACTCAAGAGGTAGACTGACAATTTAATGGAAAGGAGAGAGCTATAAATCTATGTGAAGCAGAATTAGTTGTTTGCTTTCAGTTATCAGCTAGTCAATGTCCTATCTCTTAGTCTACAAAGGTCTCTGTCACATCAAATTTAGTTTAGTTTAGTTTACTGTCATTGCACCTCGTATAACGAAATCAAACACCATCTTCAGTGCACATCATGACCATGACCATGAAAATAAACACAAACACACATCCTTCACCCTTCACACATTGAACCGGAAACCCCCGACACCACATCAACACTGCACTATACAGCAGAATTCAAAAGAGCTACTGCCCTGGGATAGAAGTTGTTTTTCAGCCTATTTGTCCTTGTTTTTATTATTCTATACCGTCTGCCAGATGGTAATAGTTAAAAAAAAAAGGTTCCCAGGATGAGATGGATCTTTGAGAACATTTTGAACTTTCTTAAGGCAGCGGGAGTTATAAAGCTCTTCCAAAGAGGGGAGAGGGTAACCAATGATCTTCTGGGCAATGACATTAAACCTCTGGAGTGCTTTCCTATCTGCCACTGTGCAATTGGCAAACCATACAGAGGTGCAGTATGTTAAAATGCTCTCTGGTGCAGCGGTAGAAGGTCACCAGCAGTTTTTCATTCAGTTGTTGTTTTCTGAGAAATCTCAGGTAGTATAATCTCTGCTGGGTCCTTTTGATCAGGGCTGCAATGTGGGCACCCCAGGTCAGGTCCTCTTTTAGGGTAACACCCAGAAACTTAAAACTGGCCACTTGTTCCACTCGGTCTCAAATAAACAAAGACTTGTCTTGGCTTCCTTCGATTATGTAATGTTGCTTAATGCATCTGGCAACCCACCTCTAAGCTCTGTTTTCAAGATAAAAAAGTCACAACAGAATTCTTCAGATACTCGGACACTAGTTCTGAGTAGCTACCTGCCAAGTTGTCTTATTACCAGTGGCTGCTCTAGGAAAAAAAGACTTTGATTCAGAAGGTAAAAGAAAGAAATACCTGGGGTCCTACTTAACACTATGCTTTTATATAGGGCATTTCCTCAAATCTTTAATGTATGGCATTATGATTATAGTAAATCTTCCATATAGTACATTTAGGTGTTTTTTTTAATTAAAAAGGCAATATGTGAAGAAGCTACATAGGAACCCCCCATGAAAGTCATGCATCCTCTTCTCCTCGTTCAAATGAACATACTACTGTTTTTGCACAGTGGGAAAACATTTAGAGTCTCCCCATCACCATCCTACTTTTTGCAACAAGTACATTAACTGCTAGTTTGGTCTTGTGCTTAATGTGCAGGCATAGGAGTCTAGTCTAGCTTAGGCAGAGAAATCAAGTGGATGAGAAGTGATATCTCAGTTTTAGGAAGAATCTAATAATAACAAAGCCATGTTTCAAAAATGTTGCCAAGCAAATTTCATGAAAGTCCCATGTCCTATCCAGGTAATCATGAGACATCAGGATTGACATGTCACACAGGCATATAATTATGATAACATTACTATAACATGCCATTTAAAAAAAAATGCTTAGAAACTCAGAAAAATCATATTTCAAACAAACCTGTTAGAAATATCGCAAATACCACACTTTATTCATATGAAAAAAGGTTAATGAGGAATCATGCTTTGTAGG